GGCCAGCATGGCTCAGCGGTTGAGCATCGACCTATGATCCAAGAGATCGAGGTTCAATTTTCAGTCAGGGCACATGCCCAGGTTGTGGGGTTGCAGGAGGCAGCTGATCAATGATTCTCTCATCATTGATGTTTTTCTCTCTCTACCTCTCCCTTCTTCTCTCTAAAATCAATAAAAAAATATTTTTTAAAAAAGGCCAGGGGCTCAATTTCTTATGTCTGAATATGATCTAGACTCTTCTATATAATTTGGCAGCATGGTTTACTTGGATAAAGCAATCGCTCCTAGTTTATGTTTCCTTAATATGGGTGTGTCTTCTTAGTGGGAACTGTGAGCACATGCGGCCTGGGTTATTTCTAGGGGTACGCGTGTTTGGACACATGCAAGTGCGGGTGTTTGAAGCCACCATGGTTCTTTGCTTGGGCAAAGCCTAGGGCAAGGGTGGGGAAGGGAGGGTGTAAAGTAGGTCACTGAGGCACTCGAGGGGCCGCATCCCAGACTCCAGCAAACCACCAAAGCCAACCACCCCGCACCAAGGGCAGCAGGCCTCCTCCTGAGGCTTTCTGTCCAGTGTCAAACAAGGGATGTGTTTTCCATGCTGGGCGCCTACACCACTCAAATGAGTTTAGACTTCTATTTCTAGGAGCTGTCCCTACTTGGATTTTTTTTTTCATCTTCTCTTTAAACCTGCAGCTATTTTAAATCTGCGTTGAAACGCAAGCAACTGAACTTGAACAGCTCTTGTGCCGGTCTCCGCCAGCCATGCTGAAAATCGAGACCGCCAGGGTGAACCCGGGGAACCCGGGTGCCGCCCTCTGTTCCAGACCTTTCTGGGAGGGAGTTCCCGCTGACCCTTGTGCATGCTGTTTGTCCCCAAGCTGTTTGTCCTGCAATCCGAGGAGACAACCGCCTTTTTATGTTTTATACATTTTATTCATACATTTCTCCAACTTTGAAATGACAAAAGCCCAATTCTATGATTTCCCATTACACAGCATCCTACAGGTATGTATATTCTACAAAGAATACTATGGAGATTCTCTTCCTCCCCTGTCACACAAGATAACTGATTAGGGTTCCATCGACTTGTACTGTACTGGCAGTGCACCAGCGTCCGGGTAGTTCTGGCGACAGGGCAAAGGGATCGGGGCGGGAGGGCGTGTGCTAAGGCATGTAAATAGATACACACAGAGAGAAAGAAAAGCGGGACATTTACAGAGAATCCGAACCTTTCCGATCCCTTCACCTCCTGGGTGTTGAAGGACACCTCCTGCACAAACGCTCTTGCACGCTAAGGCTTTGCTGTACCCTGCAAATACTTACAATTGGATACGGTGAAATATACAACAACCATTAACATCGCTCTCTTTTTATCACTGAGACAATACTTCAAAACCTTTTATAAAAAGGCAATTATACATACAGAAAAAAGAACACGTTGGCAAAACTTTATGCAAAACAACCCGAGTACTGAGTTTGAATGGCGACGCACCTGCATTTCAATGAAACGCGACACTCTGGTCTGAGCACCTGAGGCTCGTGTGGCCTTTGCGTCGGTTACCCTGCCTGCTGCTCCTGCAGCCTCCCCCCGCCTGCATGGCTGCCATTCTAGGACACAGCTGAGACTGGAAATTAATTCCCCCTAACTCTTGGTCTCTTCAAAATGAAAAAAAAGAAAAAAATAGGTAGGGCGACTCACTGTGGAGGAACGCCTATTTCTACTCCCAAAACAGGACTCCTAAGAGGTCGCATGTCCTCTGGGTCCCGAGGTGGCCACGCCCCCCAGACCTGTCTTGGTGAGAACACTGGCAGGTCCCCTAGGTCACGTGCCAGAGAGACTGGAACTAACACACAAGTGGCAGCAAAGTTTTGAGTTTCTGAGCACACACAGATACGGAGTTGTGCTTGGGGCCAGAAACGAGGTCTCTTGTGTGGTGACAAACATCTCTTTCCATTTTCTTTTGCTCGGTCCATTTGCACAGGTTCAAGAGAACTGATGGAGGGTCAGGTGAAAGGTGGGGGGAGCTCTGGCTTTTCAATCCCACCCCCCAAGAGGGAAGACTCGGCAGTGCCTCTGTGAGAGATGGCCTGGCCCTCCCCCTCTCTCTGTGGGCTGGGTCCGCCCACCTGCTACAGCCCAAGAGTGGCAGAGAAAAGACCAGATAAAAGGGATGTGGGCTGCTGAACATACTCTTCTACTTTCTGGACACGTGTCACAGGTAAACTTCACTCACTGAGCTGGAAGACTTGAGACCTCCAACTGCTCCAAGTTTAAGGCAAACTGATAAGTGAGTGTGGGCAAAGCCAATCAAGCATTAAGCCTTCTGGGCATAGTTCTGTAATGGAAGACACCAAGTGGAGAGGCAAACCTTAGTTCTAAAGGGGTAAGAGGGGAAAAGTTCTACCAAATCAAAGGATTCACGATTCAAGCTTGTAGCCCTTTTATGTAAGCTGCAGCGAGAAGCAAAATCTTCCTAAGAGGAGAATTAATTGCGAGGCGCAGAATAAGAGAAAAGCGCTCAGGGACCTTTAGCCTATGACATGCTGTAATCAGCCTCAGTATTTATAAGCCCTTGTAAAGAGGATGGAATTAGGAGGCTGTGCTCAATTCTGGAAAAACAAACCCCTTCCCCGCTCCCTCCCCATACACACACACACACACACACACGCGCGCGCACACACACACACACACACAGCTTAATGATAGGAAGCGAGGAGGAGAAATGAGGACCTCAAGGGGCTTCTTTGGGTAGGCCGCTGGGAAGGTCCCTTCTCCTCTTCCCAAGGACACAGCATGGGAAGCATTATAATTAAGAGTTTATTAATCAAGACATTTTTTCTTGCTAGCTATAGCAGCATGTCTCTCTGCCCCAAGTTAAGACACGGACCTGAAGTGAAGGACATTGCATTAGCGGAATACAAGAGTTTGCTTTGGGCCACCTGTCAGCATCTCCTGTGTTCAGTTTCCCCGAGGGACGCTCAACTGGCTACACTTTTTCTAGGGATGAACTGAAAGCCTTAATGTACTACACGTGATTTCAAAACAAAACACAGCCCCCCCCCCCC